CCGTCAGCTGAATAAACTAAATAGTCAAAAATGGTTCTCACTTCTGACCATTCCCACATTGTGAATCGATATGAACTGAGTTTGGGGTCATCTGGCTAGCTACATACTGTACTGTAGGTGGTACAGAAGTTCTAAAATGAAAAGGAGAAACACTGAATGTAAGCATGAAGTGCTATCCTGTTCACAATGTCTGATTTGTATCTAGGTCAAAGAATTCTTTATTCAGAAACAGTCACGCTACCTCGCACTCACAACCTTCTAGGTATTACAGTGATAATGGAATGTGCACGAAGAACAGAATAAATTGCAATCTTCCTCACTAAAAGTTAAACATGGTAAGCTGGACAACACTGTAAGAGTGATTTGCAGAACAAGAATCAATATATAAATTAAAGAGGCCCAAACTTTAGCGTATTTTCTGTCCTACAATTATTTCTGTATTCAATGTTATTTCCTTATTTCTTCCTGAACTAGAAAACTGATCAAAAGTATATATTATTTACAAAACAAGTAGGACCTATGGACAAAAAGACATTTATTTATAAAGCAAGTAGGACCTACAGGCACTTCAGACAAATATTCAAAGGAAGCATACCAAACTCAGAAACACAAAAATAAACTCTCTAGTTGTCCTACCTTCCTCTACAATAATGGATTTAAACAGGCTCAGCATGGAACAGAAAGGTATTAAGTACAAGATTTTTCTGCTGGTTTGATTTATGCTTCTATTCCTTTCTCTACCAATGCAAGGCTCAGAAAGAAATAAGGGAAATTTCTCAGAATAATGAATGCTGCATTCTGAAGTTCTTAGGTCAGATTTTATTTCTTAGGAAGAAAACATTAAAACAAAAAAAGTGTATATTCAACTTGAAACACCCAGTTATTGAAGCAAATCATGTCCCATAGATCTCATCTTGTGACCAATTTGGCTTACAATTTACGTCATCAGGGACGCCTGATAATTGAGAAAGACAAGTTTTGTAAAAGGGATTTCATTCATTACTTTAAACAACACATCAGATGAAGGATCCTAGGAAAGAGCTGAAAGGGACCTCCATAAGGTCATCTAGTCCAACCCCCTACTTCAAGCAGGATCATCCTTGTGTCTGTTTAACCTGCTTCTGCACGTTTCCAAGGACAGAGATCCCATAACTTCTCTAAGTTCCAGTGCTGGATCATCCTCATAGGAATTTCCTTCTAATCTCTAGCCTAGAGATGCACATAATCTAGATAAAAACAAAATCCTTTATACACCATTTTCTGACTCCACTTCCTCAGTAAAGCATTCTGTGACATTCATTCAATCTTCAAGGGTATCCATGAGTCCTGTTCTGCAACTCGGATTCTGTCTGCCATTCCCTCTTACAGCCTTGGATGGTTCTGCACCCACAAAGTCCCTATCTTCATCAACAGCCTCTTTATTCTTCCGTCTAGCCAGAAACTTCCTTTGCCTGGTTCCAGTATGTGCTTAAAAGACTGCAGCAACCTCTCTCATTTTCTGAAGGGATTCCATTGCTTCAAACCCTACCCTTGGGAAAGTCACAGAACTTAACCTAGGAAACAGTTTCTCCTTTGTTCTGCATAGACAACTGCTATCCAAAAGTACTGATAATCTTTAGCAACTAAACTATTCTTAGACAAATGCCCCAGCACCCTCCCCATATCCTGTCGTGTCAGACAAGTAGAGCTACTGAAGGTAGCCATAAGACAAGAAAAGAGGCAGTTCACAAGTTGTACAGACAGATTTCCCATTTCACCATATCTGGTTTCAGTACTTTCTGGTAATCAGTTTAGATACCCCAAAACTAAAGTAACTGAAGACAGTCATTTTTGCCAATATTAGTCCAAGCAAGGTTTGGCTGAACTCTGAGTCAGCATTGTTTTCCTATGTGAGAAAAAAAGACCCAAGTAAGTAATTTGCTTACCCCATCTGAAAAATGAGAGGACAAACAATAACCAGGATTTCCATTATTTGAGCTATGTACAAAATTCTTCTGTAGGTGTCACAAAATACCTTATTTCATATCTCTAATCTTGTTAAAAGCTTTTGATAGTTTTGCTTTTTATATAAAGGAAATGTGACCAAATAGGGATGCCCTTTTTAGAAGTAGAGATCTTTAAGCCAGGATGACACTTCATTGCATCTCCACAGCTGGTTGTCATTAAGAATACTTCATTATGTAAAGGAAATGACACTTGATCTATCCTGACTATGATTCATATTACAGCTGGACAATACTATGTTCCAGAATTAATCACATGGCTTAGGTCTACAAAGCAGATAATGAAAAAGCTGAAGGAACTAACCAACCTGCCTGGCTGAATGAAGCCATGTTCAAAAGATCTGCTTCTTTCGCAGATTGTCAGGTGTAAATCTGGTGAAGCAGCTGGATTGGAGTGGGCAAAGAAGTATAAAGGGAGGGAAAAAATGAAAGTCAAACACCACTAATTATTCTAGTAAATCTTTCTTGCACAAAGTAAGGACAGTTTCATTATGGACCATAAGGGATCTTGTTTAATCTTCCCTGAGTGGAGAAATGGGTTGGCGAGATGTTAGTCCCTAGGATTCTATGTGGATTCCTCCCCAGTGTAGTTCTCTCTTACCATTATACCATTTGCACTCTACATTGAAAACCCTGGAAGGGATGGGAGGAGGAGGTGAATGGTGAAACAGAAGAACAACACAGAGCAGAGCAAAGTTCAAACCTATAAGCAATTTAACAGAAGAGGTAGAAAGGTCTGTGGATACTGTTACAAAATTCTGCTGGACAAATCTTCTAACCTCAGCTTCAATAAGGACCCACAGTCAAAGCATTCTGCTTCTGCCCATCTGCAGATGGACACTGGTGCAGCGTTACCATGACTATATCTGCACAAAAAAGGGTCCACAGTTGAACTAAGCTACACAAAAAAAAAAAGCACCATGGAAGTAATTATAAATACAATACCAATACGAAAACGTGACATGACAAAATGTAAAATTTTACATTGATATAGAAAATTACTGAACAAAATAAAATCAGAAGATACTTGAGAGAAAGGTAAGTAATTATTCACACAAACTTCTACACTGAATTTGTATTTAAAATCACAATTACACATGTAAGTTAGCCAGCAAACAGAAATGAATGGCGTGTGCCCCCAGCGGCTGGGGAATTTGTTATACATTTTCCATGTGCAGAATCTAATTATTGAAGTGTAGTCTTTAATTCATCATCCTCCACCACCACACTGCAGCAGGGCAGTCGTGGGGAGGCAGGTAGTATGGGGAGTTTTGATAAAGGATTTAATTTTTTATTGTGTTTTTTTCCAAAGGTTTGGCCTTTTGTGTATGTTTTTGCTTACCCCCTGTTTGTGCCTGCCACCCTGCCACCTGCCTGCCCAACTACAGCCTCTGCTCCCCATCTCCCTTGTTCCACACCAGCAGACTCTGTTCCCATTCTAGCCTGGAGCACTGAGTATGGCCTCAGCCCAGCCTCCGTAGCAGCTGTGCAGGCAGCATGCCACTGCTATGGGACTGGACTGTAGCGTGGATGAAGCCTGTCAGCACAGACCAAAGGTACGGGAGGGGTTGGAAAGAGGGGTGAGGGAGGCTGCAGTGGTGGGGGCAGGCAGCAACTGCAACTACAACCCTGACCCCAATCCCAGGTAAGGGCTGAGGCCCAAGCCACAGCAGCCACCTTCCCCCATACTTGATTCTGAGATGAGGCTTTTATCTCCCTTGTTAAAATGGGGAAAAAGTCTTCAAATTGAATAAATATAGTAATATAAACAGAAAAAGGCTGAAGACAGGACCCTGAAGACACCAAGTAACAGAAAGAATAGATTTATTAAAAAACCCCCCAACAACAACCAAGACAAAGGATAGTTTTTTCTTCAAAACAAAACAAATGGAATTCATTGGAGTTCTTTATGCCACTGGAACCACCATAAACAATGAGATAAACAGGGATAGAATGGGTCAATTTAAAAAAGTTAGAGGAAAAGACATTTTTTCAGAGGAAAAAGTACTAGGAAACTGTTGAACAGTCTTGTTTACAAAAAAAATCCCTTAATTCATAATTATTCCAGTTCCAGAAACTTTAGCTGTAAATTGGCATTTTTAGAGCATATTTTCACATTATAGCAATTATATTCTTCCTATTCTAATATTTGTTTGACAACGGTGATCTGTAGCCAAGCTTACAAAAATGTCAAAAAGACTTGAAATTTACACTGGTATTAAATCACACTCTGGGACAAAGATACATGGACATTTTAGATTACTAGTAGGTGGAGCTGAATTATAATGGAATTCTCCTCCCAAAACTCTGGACACTATGTCCTGAGCTGCAGTTATAGAATTGCTTTATTGTGTATTCCTTTTGTCTTCAAAAGGAGGACTGTGGCCCAAACTCAGGCCCCACTAATTCCTGCATCTGTCCCATCTACCAGCCAATGTTGAATCAATGGCATGTTCTTGTTCTATTCCAGGGGTCAGCAACCCATTGGCACGCAATGCCATTTTTCTCGGCACACCACTGTCAGCCTGGGCTCTAAGCAGCTGCTGCCAGCCACAGAGCCCAGGCTGCTCCCAGCAGGCAGCTGGGAGGCTGCAAGACCGAGCTCCGTGGGCCAGCTTTAGCTGGGAGGCTACAAAAAACTGCTCCAGGCTCTGGCATGTCAGCAGTCCGGCACCTTCCAAGGTAGGCGTTGTGGTTTTTTCAGCACTCCGGGCAAAAAATATTGCCTACCCCTGTTCTATTCTAATTCAGTATCAAAAGAGTAGTGTTACTGTTTATATCCAGCCCACTGGAGCATTATGTTTGTGTAAGCCAAAAGAAGGATAGCATCTGCAGCTACTGCGATGGGTGACACCTGAAATAAACTTTGATCTAGAGGTGTTCTGGTGGGTCCACCAAAGAAGGATTTCAGGACTGTCCATACACCTGACCAGTAAAGGGCATTTTGAAAACACTGGAACTTGATTGTAAACTTACTATTTAAAAAAGCATCATTACCTTTCTTTTCTCCTGTATAAGGCACAAAATCCTCCCTGTCTTTGTGTTCTAGTGCTTGCTTCTCCAAAAAGGCAAGGAGTCGCTCTCTGTCAAAAGGACCAGAGGCTTTTTTAGCAGTTTGGTCCTTCTGTCGGAAGCCCGCTGGCAGAAGTGCATTCTACAAAACAAAATGGTATTGTAGCAGTTTGAAAAGTCTTAGTTATTATAACATCGTATCATTTTTTTAAGTCAAATACTTTTTACTCTACTTTTTGAACACAATGGACATGCCAGTGATTTGGGGGGCCAAGTCTAGGCAAGGAGACCTCAGTAAAAGCAGACTGCACACTGGGCACTGCTAGAGCCCCTCTACACATGCAGGTAAAAGCACAATGGGATCTAATGTACAATCTAAACAGTTGCACCTCTTGCAATGCTACACGCGCATGGCAAGAGGCACGACTGGGACTGCACATTAGATCCCATCATGCCTTATCACTGGTCCAGGGGGGAGCCTAGGATTATGATCCTGGGCTCCCCCTGCACCAGCTCTGAGCCCCACAGTTGATGGGGCTCACAGCAATGCCAGCGCATCCTGTAATGCCCCTGCTAGGAGGCCAACAGCTCACTTCACTGCAGGGCTTGTAGCGGGAAGAATGCTGCCACTGCTGCAATACTCAAGTGTGGGGTTTATGGGAGGTGGGGAAGGCAGCTTTCTCCTATACTGCCCCCACTGCAAGTCTCATAGCTCAGGATGCTCAGTGACAGCTTTCTTCCCGCTGCTGCCCCTGCAACACTCACAGCTATGGGGCTGCAAGGCTTGCAGCAGGGTCCACTGCCACTGCTGCAGGCCCAGCAGCAACACTGGCTGTGGAGCTCCCAGTGGGGGCAGAGCAGGTGAACACTGCCGCTGCTGCAAGCCCCACACTTCAGGAAGTTCTCGGTGGAAGCAGCGTTCTTCCTGCTGCAAGCCCTGCAGCTAAAGACAATGCCCCCATTGCAAGCCTTGCAGCCAAGGAGGCTCACGGGGTGGAGCAGTATTTTTCCTGCTGCCAGCTCTGCAGCTGACAATGCTGCCACCACTGAGAGGCTTGTTAGCTATGGGGCTAGCAGCGGGTGGTGTCCCCCTGTGCCTGGAAGCCCGGCAGTGGCCACATATTCAATTAACGATGTGATTAGAGCAAGCTACAAAATTATTACGCATTTTTTGTGGAATAACTTTGTAGCTCGTTGTTTGTTTTATCACGCAGTTCATTGTTTGAACATGGAGCTGGGTCACAACTTAAGGTGTGATTACACCTGGCTAATCATGCCTTATAAGTAATGTGTAGAGGGAGCCCAAATGCTTTAAAAAAAAAAAAAAAAAAAAACCCAAAAGAAACTAAAACAACAGCTCCAGCCTGAGAAGTATCATAGCTCTCAGAACTAGGCTCACACAGCAGTCATTGACATTTCTTTTTCAACATGAATTCCCCCATCTGAATGAACAGCTAGGAATGAAGGAACCACTAGTTTACAAGCTAAATGAACACTCCCTAGGCTGCTTCCTTTAACACTAACATCTAACTTTCTCTACATCCACAAAACAAATGTCTATTCTAGTCAACACAGCTAGAGCCAGCAATATGAAAGTGATTCTGTGCAACAGACTGATTTACATTCAATACTTTCTGCAACTGCACAGAAAGTTGGAGGAAAAGTTGTGTAGAGAAGCAAGGAATAGAAAAAAAATAAGAGGCGAGATTTCCAATGATCGTTTCATTAAAATAAATAAATACAAACAACCAACCAAACCAAATAAAACAACTTACCCTGATCGTCAATTTTCCACAGTTAAAATTATATGGGTCACCAAAATTAAAGGTAGATGATCGTAACATTGCTCTTGGGAGCCCACAAGAAAAACCTAGCTATAAAACAAGGTATTCTCCTGAGTGGCACCTCTATCAAGTTTAAGCCTAAACTGACTATACTACAAACATCTAAAATATTGAGTGTGACGCTGTCGTGGTGTTAAACTGTGAGCACAAAACTGACAGATGAAAGCTAAATGATGTCACTAGAAGATTATATTATAATTGATCTTTTTTGTTCATAGATTCATAGATTGTAAATGTGATTTTTTTTTAAAGGCAAGAGTCAGATCCTATTTCCCTTATTAGGTGTCTATGTCTCATAGCATAATCCTAATCCATCCTCTTTGAGTCCTTCAGAAACTATAAACACGTTATCTTCTGTAACATCGCTTGATTTTAGCCATAAACTTAAGTAATAAAAAGCAAACAAGAGGATGTCGTCAAATGATCCAGCTTCAGGTGAATTTCTAATCAGGAATGTCACCTACTGGAAATGTTCCCTTTTAAGAATAATTTCCTAAAGAGCTTGATGTAATCATCCTGGACTTCCAGTCTATTTTACATTTTTTACTATTTCTAATTCCATCAAGTTAAGAAGATACCACTGTACTGAAAGGCTTCAATAAAATCTAATTTAAAGCAAAAGGTAAAAGTTTGTAACAAAACAGTTTCTAAGAGAGTGATACAAAAGACTGTTCACTTCCCCAATTCCCACCTCAGGATCAAGGTCATCCAGAACAGTTTCCAGTTGCTTTAATTCTTCTTCTGAAAGCTTGCCCAGAATTTCATCCTCATCAAGATCCTTGTATTTGTCTATGTCTTTTTGGAATGGGAGCGTCATGACTTGGGTAGCAGTCACTCAGACGTTTTCAAACTAGCAGTTAAGGACTGTGTTTTGCTCTTAAACAGACCTATAGAAAAACAAAAACAAAAACAAGAGGAGGCACAATAAAGCAACTATAATAATCCCTAGGTATCATCCAGCTTCCAAATATATTTCCTATGAAAACTATATTTCTGTTCATTGCACACTGAAGTTTTTATAGTGCTCACCACTGTGTTAGCTAAATACTGCAGGCATCCTAGCACTAGTACAGGGGACTCTCATCATTCGGCACTATCTTAAACAGTAAAAAAGTTTTGGCTTATACAGTCAGTATCATTTTAATTTATGCTACTGACATCAGCAAGAGCCCTTAAACTTTAGCAAAAAGGAAAAAAAAAAAAAAGCAACTTATCATCCCAGTCCTACTCTGCTTACCTGGAAAGAGCCATCCCCTCCCCCCACAGTCTGTTCACTTGTCTTGTAGGAATGGCACATACAAGGTCTGGTAAGTGCTAAAAGCTATGAGGAGCCTGCTCGTTGCAGACAGAACATTTGGAGATTTTAGCTATTAGGTTCTACCAAGTTTCTTCTGCATTTGTAAACTGCAATTTTTGCCAAGCTTATAAATTGGCTGGTTTGGGATGCATTTTCCTAAGGGCAGCAAAAATACCCTCCATTATGCAAGCTCCCCTGTCAAATTTCAAGTCCCTATAAGGGCAAGAGAACTTTCCAAAGAAAGTTTCCAGAATTTTACCCTTGAAAACATATTTTTCCTGGTCTTGTTCTCATAAGAAACAGGTGTGTGTGTGTCTATCATCTATTTGATATCATCAAAATACATCAGATAAGAGGTAGACACCAGGAATGGAAAACTTCAGCCCACAGATCAGAAGTTCGACAAAGTTAAGACTAACTGGGGAAAAAGACCTTACAATGAGAAGTGTTGGGCATCCTTAGCAACAGACACTGCTACCTGGCCATCATGCTACAGCTAGCAAAAGCGTTAACTACAGGAATACTCTTTTCCGAATATGAAAATAGAAACAAAACTGGTCTTTGGCAAGCAATCTGTTTGACTATCAAATTACATAGTCCAACATTTTAGATGAATTTTGCATCTGGACTTGTTATATCTAAAAATCTGTATGATTTTCAAAATTTGTGGTATTTAACATGCAACTTTAGCTAAATAATCCAAAAAAAGTCAAAATGTCAGTTCTTGGGCCCATGATGGTTGTTGGCAAGTCATCTGAAGAAAAAACTAGACCTAAAAATACTTAATTTATAATTCTCACTATCTTTTGCTCTCCAAAGGCAAATAGACACTAAAACGAAATAGGGCTTCCTTAAATATCTGGGCTACTGATATTTAGGAAACAAAATAACCAAACAAAAATTGCATATAATTTGATAGAGTCATTCATTTGCTGACTGGACAAATCAAATATTACTCACTAGTGCAGGACTATGACTCAGCAGGCATAGGCAGAAATAACTTCTTCTGCAGTTATTACTGACTTATATGCCCTTGTTTATTACCCTAATTAGTTTGCTCATAATTTTAGCCTCCTTGACTATCCATCTGTTAATAAAATGGGAAATGTGATCTTGAATAAGACAAATAAAAACTTCAACTGAATAATGATCACTACTGAACTTAGAGCTTGCAAAAACTGAAGACAAGAGGCTGGGCTTAAACCGAAGAACTAGAATACATAACTACTGAGTTTTTCCTGAAGTGGTAAAACCAGAGGGGTGCATCAGATTACAGACTTTGGAACCAGGAGATAGACCAGGGGTGGGCAGCCTGCAGTGGACTCCCATTTCCCAGCAGTGGCAGCGCTGTGGCAGCATGGGGCCATGGCTTCCATGGAGACCAGCCCCAACAGTGCTGGCAGGGCACAGACCTGGGTGGGGAGCTGCTCTGGAGCTGGGATCTTGCGGCAGGGACAGCACGATCCAGAGCCAGAGCAGAGCTGCGATCCGCTGCCTGCACATCCTCAGCAAGGGCATGCAGACAGTGGACTGTGGCTCTAGCCCAGCTCCAGACTGCGCTGTCACCACTTCAAGATGCCAGCCTGTGCCCAGCTGTGCGTCCTGCCAGTGGTGCTGGGGCTGGTCTCCATGGAAACCCTGGCCCCGTTCTGTCACAGCACCACTCCTGGGGTCTCCACTGAAATGATGTGGGCAGGGGCTGTTGGGAAATGGAGTCCAGATCCTGGCTGGATTCACCATTTTGGCGACTCCCGAGCTAGACCCAGGTAAGGTCTGTAAGTGCAAAAACGTTTGTAATGGTCTGTTTCTGGTCAGAACAAGCTACAGGAAGGCTGTGCACGCAATCAGTCAGTCTAGCTGTGCCAGCCTGTCAATACAATGTGGAAAGTCTTATTCCACACACGTGGAGTATACATATTTCACACATTACTCATTTTGCTTCTGCAAATAGGCGTTTCCAAACAACATGACCTTTGGTAGCTCAAGATGCAGTAGTTTCCCCGTATACATATCAAACAAGTTAAAAATATTTATCACATGGATCTGAGCCAGCAGTGTGCCCTTGTTACCAAGAAGGCCAATGGCATCAGGGGCTGCATTGGTAGGTATTCTTGCCAGTAGGTCGAGGGAAGCGATTATTCTGCTCAGAGATGTGGGTTTTCTGGAAAATTTTGAATTGGAAAATTTTCCAGTGCCCTAAGTACAGTGTGATCTGATTTAGCATGTTTATTTGACTTGTATTTAGTAAACTAAACTAAAAAAGTACCCCCCCATGTTAATTTTATGTCCCAATAACCACATGTATTTGAACTGAAATATCTGATTAGGAAAAAAATTCAATATAGCACACTTAATGTGGTTTAAATGTTACATTCAAACAAATTCAAAGCTTTGTGGAAATAATTTATTTTTATTGGAATACTTGTAAAAATGTAAAGACAATACACAATACCATGTACTTTTTCTCCTTAGAAATGGATTCCTTGAGGAACTTCTCCATAATTTTTCCAGGGAGTGAGGTGAGGCCAACTGGTCAGTAGTTCCCAGTAGGGTCTTTCTTTTTCCCTTTCTTAAATATGAGCACTATGTTTGTCTTTTCCAATCATCCGAGACCTCTCCTGATCACCATGTGCTTTCAGAGATGATGGCCAGTGGCTCTGCAATCATATTGGCCAATTCCCTCAGCACCCTCAGGTGCATCCCATCCAGCCCCATGGAGTTGTACACATCCAGCTTTTCTAAACAGTCCCCAACCTCTTCTTTCACCACTGAGGGCTGCTCACCTGCTCCCCAACATGTTCTGCCCTGTGCAGTAGTCTGGGAGCTGACCTTGCCTGTGAAGACTGAGGCAAAAAAAAGGCATTGAAGACTTCAGTCTTTTCTGCGTCTTGTCACAAGGTTGCCTCCCCCATTCAGTAAGGGACCCACACTTTCCTTGATTCTCCACTTGCTACAGGCATACTTGTAGAAACCCTTCTTGTTACCCTTCACATCCCTTGCTAGCTGCAACTCCAGTTGTCCTTTAGCCTTCCTGACTTCATCCCTGCATGCCCAAGCAATGCTTTTATATTCACCCCTAGTTGTCTGTCCAAATTTCCACTTCCTATAAGCCTTCTTTTTGTGATTTAGTTTACTGAAGAGTTCCCTGCTAAGCCAAGCTGGTCTTCTGCCATACTTGCTAGTTTCCCTGCACACTGGGGTGGTTTGTTCCTGCACTTTCAGTAAGGCTTCTTTCAAGTACAGCCAGCTCTCCGGGACTCTTTTCCCCCACTCACACTGGCTTCCCAGGGGATCCTGCCCATGAGTTCCTCGAGTGACTTGAAGTCTGCTTTTCTGAAGTCTAGAGTCCTTTCTCTGCTGCTCTGCATCCTTTCTTTCCCTCAGGATTTTGAACTTTAACATCTTGTGGTCAGTTCTGCCCAAGTTGCCATCCACTGACTACTACATTCTCAACCAATTCATCCCTGCTCATGAGCAGAAGGCAAGAAGAGTATGGTCCCTAGTCAGCCGATCCATCACTTGCACCAAGAAGTTGTCTCCAACACCACTTTCCAAAAGCTTCCTGGATTGCCTGTGCACTGCTGTATTGCCCTCCCAGCAGATGTCAGAGTGACTGAACGCCCCTCTGAGAACCAGGGCCTGTGATCAGGAAACTTCTACTAGCTGTTTGAAGAAAGCCTCATCCATCACTTCCTCCTGGTCTGGTGGTCTACAGCAGACCCCCACCACATCACCCTTGTGGCTCTCCCCTCTGACCCTAACCCAGAGACTCTGAATAGGCTGATTTCCAGTTTCATACTGGACCTCTGAGCAATCATATGGGTCTTTTACATAAAGTGCAACTCCTCCTCTCCTCCCCTGCCTGTCCTTTCTGAACAGTTTGTACCCATCCATGACAGTGCTCCAGTCACATGAGCTATCCCAAAGGTGAGGACAATAAGTGAACATAAGAAGTCTGTTTTACCAGTACCTTTGCGCATACAACAAGAAAATTTAAATACTAAAATCAGAACTTTCTTCAGTGCAGTCTTTATCTTATGTTTTTTCAGTATGTTTAACTCCTTGGGTCATTTCTTGGTTATTTGTTTCTCCTTCAGAACTTTTAAAAGCAGCAACAGTTCAAGGATCTGTAGTTATCAAACTCATATTCACTGAAGTTAAACCTGAAAATGTGGGGTCAACTTACATGCATGATCAAAATACAGGCTTATTGTATTGTTGCATTTACAGTTGGCTACCATTTTGTTCAGGTTTTTCTTATATCATTATCATGTAATGTTTTGCTAAAGAAAAGCATTACCAATAGAAAACACCAAGCTAACCATGTCTGAGCATGTGATATTGGCAGGACATCACAATTCTGAGCTATTATGACCAAACCTAAGCTAAATTCTCTAAAGACTGAAAAAAAAAAAACCAACCATGTGAAAGTGTTAGTAATTTAAAGTAAACAAAGAATTTCTGCCAGAACTCCCCTTGTCCTGACAGTTACCATGTTGTAAGTTTACACTTCTCTGACAGCAGGCTAAAGTGGAAAAACATTATTATGTTTTGAGAGACCATTAGGAAGAGACGTTTTAACTGAAAGCATTCAAGCAAAGAACTGTTCGTGTTCCAAACTGGTGATTCAGGGTTAAAGACAATCATATTTACGGTACGCAATAATATTTAAGGTACAAAGAAGTGCCACAGTTGTCTTAGCCTTGTACTGCTGTAGCTGTTTTGTTAAGGACTCTCAGTATTTGCAAAATAGTTGACTATAATTATTGCAGAAGACGCCATTCAAAACACATGCAAACTTATGACTCCTGGAACAAGAATTTTTTCCCTTCTTTTCAATTTAAGCCATTAAGTACATCTTGAAGAACCACATTTCCTGCTGCTAATTAGACATCATTGTTAGTGACCAAGCTGCATACTGAGTGCCAAGTTAATTTTATACAGCCTTCAAGCTTGTGCATGTTTGTTCTCATTCAGTTTACAGGACTGTCAGTGAATGTGGCAAGACTATGATCAGATGATAAAAGATTTACCAAGCCTATCAGAGCACAAATCTGCATAAATCTGCACCCAAAGTCAATTTAATAAGTAGTATCAAGTCACTTCTTCAACAGGGTTTTGTTTGTTCCATATGTGTATTTGTCAAACAACACTGTCAGCCACAATTCTCCACATATATACCATCTTGGTGAAAATGGGTAAAAAGTTACCCACTTTATATAAAGGCAAATCAGGAGTCATAGTAGAGATGATATCTTTTATTACACCAACAAGATTTTTGCAAAAAAAATTATTGAATTATTTGCAAAAATCTTGTTGGTCTAATAAAAGATACCATCTCTACTATGAGTCCTGACTGCCTTTTCCTTTAGACCAATACAAGACCAATACAGCTAC